CCCCCCTTGGTCTTTGTTCACTGACTCCGCTTCCCCCCCCCCCTTGGTCTTGTTCACTGACTCCGCTTCCCCCCCCCCCCTTGGTCTTTGTTCACTGACTTCGTTTCCCCCTTGGCCTTTGTTCACTGACTTCCGTTTTCCCCCCTTGGCCTTTGTCACTGACCCCCCCCCCCTTGGCCATTGTTCACTGACTCCCTCTCCCCCCCTTGCCTGTGTTCACTGACTCCCTCCCCCTTGGCCTTTGTTCACTGACTCCATTCAACCCCCGCAGCCATGTTTTCAAGCTGGAACCCCGTGAACGAACTGGGGACCAACCTCCGCATGGCTGGGCCCCGTGTCCCTGAGCTTCGAGAGCGAGATAGAACCCGGACACCTCGCGGGGCGTCAGCTATTTCTACTACGTTGGAAACAGTATAATCAGTATTAAGGAGGTTGCTAATCTCACTCAGGTTGGATGCTGGTCGCTTCTTGTGCGTGTCTTTTGTACAATTGTCTGTGGAATTATTTTTGGTTTTGCTAATGTAGGATTTTAGTAATCTTGTTTGTTTGTGCTAAGTATTGCTAACGCCACCCCCAATCTGCAGCTGTACACAGACCGGTACTTCTCGGTTTGCACAGACCACACAGCCATGCTGCACGCCCAACATGGCTCCAAGGTTTATTTTTATGAGCTCGAACACCGTGGCCTGGCCTCAAGCACAGACATATTCCAGCTTTTCTTCGATAACATGTGTGAGTATGGCGGACAAACAAGCTTTCGCATCTTCTGCTTCAACTATTTTGTTTGCAGTGTTTTCAGATATTTGACTTTTTTCTACATTACACCTAAGATGTGTGTACTTCTAGCCTTTTCTTTTCTGTTTCACGAAAATTTTGATTAATCTTATTTTTTTCATTTCATATTTCCATGTGTCCTCTACCTCTTTCACTTCCTCCTTTTCTCATTTACATTGTTCCTTAGCCTAGACTTATGGCAATGGTAGGTATAGTATACGTCTTAACCCAGGTGTGTATGTTTTAAAGGTATATTATTAATTTGAGCATCTTCACATCACACACAATGCCAAAGCGAACTAGATTTCAAGATGCTCTCTATGCAGTGGTTATTAACCTTTTTAGTCACGGAGCACCTTAGGAACCTGATGAAAGCAATATGGCCCCCTTCATCTAAAATATTCACATAAACACCACTTTGCATGCAATGTGTATAATGTACATCCTCTATAGAGATTGTTCCATACATTATTTGATATACAAAGTATATTAACACCTATATAGTAAATCATCTAAAGAAAAAAAATAATATAAAGTTAAATAAACCTTTTTCATTGCAAAAAAGTCTAGTTAGTTAATTTTTATCTGATCCCCGTGAAACTCGTCCGGTAAGAAGCCCTGTTCTATGCGGTATATTTTATAACTAACACCTTTCCCCCTATCACCTTGCAGGGGTAAGTCACGGAGACGACCTGCAGTACCTCTTCAGTAGTAGCAATGGGTTCCCCTATCTGAGGATCAAGGACGACCTTTTGACGGGTGAAATGATCACGACGCTTTTGGACGAACTTCGCTAAGACAGGGTGAGTCTTGGTATCAGAGTTTGGTTTGATCCTCAATTTCTCACCCTAAGCAGGTGGAGAGAGATGGATAGCTTTGATAAATTGGATATGTGGTCGTGAAACCCAGGATATTTTCCGGGCGCGCGGGCCAAGCAACAGGATTTTTTTTTTTGACGCGGCGACACTCCCACCAATCCTGCCCCAGATTTTGGTGGATTTTGTGTGAGTCATGTTTAGAAACTGGACGTTTTCTCCTGGTATTCTTTAGGTTTCTTTTCGCCTTTGTATTGAAGAGATGCCGATTTTTTCATAATTGTCGATATTTGTCGATGATATGAACTATTTAACCAAAAGAAAAGAATCTTAGTATGAGAGGTGAAAGTGTTGACAGCTGTTTTTTTTTTCGTTCGACCAATTTTGCAACTGGGAGAAGATATGAAGCATAGCAGCAATCATAGTGCATTATTGATAGAAAGTAGTGTTTTATCCATATATGACAAACCTTACTTATTTTGGTTTTCTTTCATACGGCACTTGGGGAATCTATCACCTCTTGGAAGATCAAAAGAGGCTTTGTATTTTATATGAGAGGTCAAACTGGGTAGTTTGCTTTTCTTTCAGCTGCAAAAAGGAGAACAAGAAACCGAATCAATCCAATCACCATTTTTATTAATATGTATCTGTAAATGATGAGTTCAGGGGGACATCCAATCGACCAATCGAGGAGAGAGGGAAGGAAGGAAGGGGGAAGGAGGGGAGAGGGTGGGAATTAAGGAAGGAGGGAGATGAAAGGAAGTTGGAGGGAAAGAAGGGTCATTACGGCAACTTGAAAAAAAAAAATGTAGAAAGGGTAAGAAAATAACTGGAAATAGATCGTTGGCAACAAATAGTTGATGGAAAAAAATAGCTGTTACGCTTTTCTTCTGAAGCAAGAGTCCCTTCTCTGAAAGGCAAGGAACAGCATAATCCATTGCTCCAACTCCTTTTTGTACAGCCAAATATTCCCAGATCCCTTATAATTGCCACTAAGTAATGCTGCTGGAACAACGACAGTGTGTAACTGACTTTTGTCTCGACAGGAAACCGACACCTGACGACTCCTTGGGCTTCGAATGGGATCCGGTGACCGACGCCTCCTTGGTTCACCTGTCTTTGTCGCCTTCACCTGAAATGCGCAAGGACAACCGCACGCAGGTGGGTTGAACGTCTTGTGCACTTGTTGAGTAGCAAAGGAAATGAGGATTCTGTATTATGTTTGTGGTTTGGAATTGCGGTTGTATTTTGAAATTACTGTTTAGCTCTTTGCAGGATGTTTATATTCAAATGTTGGTTTGAAAAGTATCACCACCATAGATTTTCTACACTAGCTCCTTTAACTTTATTTAGATGTATCTTGAAAGGTAATGAAAGACTAATACAAAAATAAATTTAAGCGTTTCTTATACCTTGCAGCAGGATTCGGATAATCCGTAAAAATACCAGTAAATATTACTAACAAAAATATATTTTTTAAATCTTTCAAGTTGCGGAGTTTCTGGCAGTCCCTTCCAACACGTCAGAACCAGATCCTGTTCCCCGAGGAGGTGGGCTTCTTCGTGAAGGAAGCTGCGGAGGACGACGCCCAAGACGCCCTTCCAAGCACAGAAACGGAGGACACAGAGTCGGGCCCAGATGTAGAGGATCAGAAGGATGACGATTTAACGGAGGAGTTGGTCAACAAGATCCTGAGTGAATCTCTGGGGGCCGAAATGACAAGGGGAGCCGACGCCAAGACGGAAATCGGTGAAGGTTCAGCTGCCAAAATTGTTGTGGACGTTGGGCAAGCTGAAAAGGATAATGGCATGAAGAACATTGGCAATAAAGATAAAATCAGCGACCCTCGGGTTAAGGGTAGCATTGAAGAAGAGCTGTACAAAGGTAACAACAAGGAATCTAATACAGACGATACCAAACACTCACTCAACAAGGACATTACTAGCCCTTCAGATAACGTGAAAGACTTAGACGAAGAGGAAGATTATTCCAAGGACCTTTACAAGAAAGACGACATCAAGGCCGCCTTGAGGAAGAAGTATTACCACAGCATTTTAAAGAACTCGGCGCTGAGAACGTGAGGAGAGAAGGGGACGTGAAAAATCTGAAATACAAGCACAAGCTGAGAAGTTAGAGGAGGAGAGGAGCGGAACGACTTGGATGCTGATGATGCGCTCAACGCCGTCGAAAATAGAATTTCCGAAAACGCCCAGAGCCCCGCCCAAACGGAATACCAGGATACCCCTACCCAAACGGCACGCAGAGTTACCGATACCCAGACGGAACACACCGGACTTGATGCCCAGACAGACCAGACAGATCACAAAGACACCAACATCCCAGGAGATAACAAAAGTACCAACACCCAAACAGGTCACGTTGGCACTTCCATGGAGGACGGCAGCACCCAGGAGAGGGCACCAGACAGCGACTTCTTCATCGTAAAGAAAATGATAGACTATGGCGACATGTACCAAATACTGAAGGATAACGAGGAAGCCATCAGACAGTACAATGCCGCCGTCAGACTCACTCCCTCCATGTGTACTTTTGGTGAGGATTGCTAAGTAAAACAATAGTGTGAAATGCGTCTGTCCTTCATTTAGGTTTTTCCTTTCTTTGTTCTTTGCTCTGCGTATTTCTTAAAAGCGAGTAAGAGATGTTTTAAGGAATGACGCAACGATCAGGAAATTATCTTTGTTCCAGATTTTTCAGGGTTTACAAGGTTGTTTTTTAGACTATAGAAGACACAAAAATACAAGGTAGAAAAAATCAGAATGCAAATAATTGCTTAAAGACATTTCTACGAAGGATTAAGAAAAGATTACAATGCGACCCCTCTCTCTCTCTCTCCTCTCGTCTTTCTTAAACGGATCAACAATCTACTGATTATGGCTTGTAAATCGGCAAACGGCGAACTGTGTTTGAGAGAATATACCACAAAAAGGCAAAGAGAAACGGAAGGACGTGAAAAGATTCAAATAAAATTGTCAGACCTACCAGATAAAACGCCCAAATATTAGTGCATCATTTATGAGCAAGCAAGCAATTACTATGATTAAAAAATATAAAATACACAAAAATACCAATGAAGTATAGAAAGACCAGAAATTTGAACAAAAAATATATGGAATTTTAATCAAATCCTGTAGAATTTAAGCGATTTTCTTTAGACCACAATTTGTATATAACAAGAAGATACAACCAGTAAGATAATCTCATGCCCGTTGTTGTGGGGGGGGGGGGGTCTTGGGAGACGTGGACAAGGATCCAATGCAGGGGATCACCCCTACCTTAGACTCAGACCTCGCCTCAACTAATTTTTCATGGTCTTTGCATGTTATTCTCTATGACTGCAGATGTTTTGATGCAAACAAAGTGTTTAAAACAAGATAATTTCCCATGTTCAAATAAATTAAACATGAAAATTATGAAACCATTTTGGTATGAACTGATGTGGCAGACCGAAGTCAGCGGCGGAAATTTCATCCGCTGTCACTTCAGCTGGTCTTCTAGCTGGCCATCAGCAAAGGCAGAGCCACAGTCCCATAATGACTTTAATCTTCACCCCTACAACACACTCACTATGAATAGTCGTATATTATTTAGATAAATCAAGTTTGCAGGTTTCAATGTATATGTGTGTGTGTATGTACGTGTGTGTGTGTGTGTGTGTGTGTGTGTGTGTGTGTGTGTTTATGTTTACATTGTGTGTGTGTGTATATATATATAATTGTTACGGCTGGTATGTCACGAAGAGAATTAAGGGGAAAAGCAGCTCCGCTGAACTCGAATTCCTCCCAATGCGAGAAGTCAAATCTGAAGGATATGGCCTGGTATGAACGGCTAAATACCACGTAACAACAGCTCGTGCTAAAATACCATTAGTGATTGTAAATATTCTTCTGGTTAATTCATTTGTATTAATTCATTCTTCATTCCATATAAGGCTCATTAATGCCGTCAAGTTATAATCATTCACTTTGTTCATTGTTCATTTATTTATCATCATCTCCCATTAACGTTATTTTCTTCATTATCAATTATGTATTCTTTTCTTAACTATTATATTATATTCCTTTCTTATTTATATACACTGATACAATTATGTCACTTATTGTCAATCATTATTCATCTTTCATTATACGTTATTTATTATGTTAATTAACTTTGTTACTCAAGAATTGTATACCACTAATGATTATTATTTAGTAACTAAAATCATTTATCTATGAAATGGAAAAAATGCATAAACTCAATATTTACCACTTATTTTTATTTATTTCCTTCACCAAAATATACAAACAAAACACGAGACGAAAAACACACGAAAAGAAAAAAAAAAAGAAACCCTGCCTACGCAATACATTAATAAAATTCAATGCATCGCCCTAAACCTAACTCAGAATACAAACCCCGAAAAAATAAAAAATAAATAAATGGCAGAGCAATGACAGAGGTCTTGCCTAGGCCTATGGCGGTGGAGGAGTGGCCGAGGAAATCTTCCCAAGGCCTCAAGACGGTAGGGGGGGGGAGGGGGGTACGATCGCTACGGCAAGAACTGCCTCGTTACAGTAGCTTACAGTGAGTTAGCCCTTTTACTAATTAATCATTAATTAATTTTGCCGTTATGTAATATTCCTCCCCGCAAGAAAAGAACTTTTTACCATATGGGGAAAAAGTTCAACTAGCTAACTGCTCTGTAGAATCACCGCACAGCTCGTTCGGCTAGACGGGAGAATGTAGCGTCTTCTCCTTTCCTTTCTGTCCGCCGCAGCGTAGAGTCAGCGGCCAGCGTGTGCAGACTATATTACTTACGATCTATTACTTACGATCTTGAAATTGCGTCCGCTGTGATATCGTGTGCCTCTAATATGCAATATCTTAATAATGTCTGTCCACCTGAACACTTGGAATGTTTCTGAACTTTATTTTCTATAGAAGAGTTATGATCAGCGATTTTCGACGGGATGAACAGATATTGTTAAATAAACACTAAACTTTTCAAATTACAAATACTATCATTAAGGGCTCCTTTTCGACGGTGGCCTGAGACTTGAGACAGAAATAACACCGTGTGAACACTTCACTATTCGACTTTCTGCAAATTGTTCGCCCACGATCACGAACGCGTGCCCTCCTGACGTAGTCGCTGCTGCCCGCTATCCCACGGAGTGAAACGAACTGCCCACGCATCTGTTCTGGCCCTCCTGCAGTCAACACGTGGATGAAGGCCACTACTCTCAAGAACCAGGACTGCAGCAGAGGCAAGGGGGCCCAAGCAAGGACAGATGAACCCCTGCTCCCTCCGGCGCCGAACCTCAGCTTGCAAAGACGCCCCATTCGTCACATCAAGGGGACACGGAAACTGAAGCACTGGCTGAACATCCCTGGTCTCGGCAGCATGATCCAGCAGTGGACAGAGACGAGCTACTTCACTGAATGGCTCGTCATACTCCTGCAGAAGAAAATGGGTTTGCTGCTTGGGCAGCAGAAAAGGGTTTAGGTTTATCAGGGTTAACCGAAATTACTGAATTCGTGAGATTAGGCTCCACAAAGATATTTTCATTTTCATTACTGTTAGAAAGTACAATCACTGAAACATCACTTACGTTTCCCGTATTTTCCTTTAAATCATCCCGTTCATAGTACTTTTTCGGGAGGTTCACATGCACATGACGTTTTTTCTTACGTCTCTTAGGGATTTCAATTGCACACCTAACATCACTAGATCGTTCTAGAACATTAAATAGTCTCGCATCCCGAGACTGAAGAGGCTGGTTATGAAGAGTTAACAAAACCAATACTAAATCATTGAATAATCTTACCTCTGCATCATTTACTTTATCAAAGTGTTCTTTCATCTTAGTATTAACTTTACCCAAATGATTACGAGCTAATGAATTAGCTGTCTGCAATAAATACTCCCAGTCATTCACATAAATATCTACGGGAAATCCCTCTTCATTTAACCAAAACTCTTCCAAAACTTTTAGTGGTCCACGCACTTCATGGCCGTAAATTAATTTAAATGGGGAATAAAATGCTCTCTTGAACACTGTCCCTTATTAATATAAAGTAAATCTATTCCTTCATCCCACTCATAACCAGTCTCTAAACTGAAGGCTTTAATCATAGTCTTTAAAATATGAAATCTTTCAACTAGCCCTTGACTCTGAGGATGATATGCGGTGGATCTGTACTGCTGTATACCCAAGGACTTCATAAACTTTTCATATAATCTGGAAGTGAAATGTGACCCTTTATCTAACTGTACTAAGGTGGACAGACCAACCCGAGTAAAAATCTTTATCAAGGCCTTCAATATTCTTACTTGTGTCGTCTGCAGATATATCATTGTGCTTATAATTACGAACAACACCTGACTGGAGAGAAAAGCAAGCACGGAATTTTCTAGATCATTTATTATCAGTTAGCTTATCATTAAATGCTTGCAAATCAGGACCTTTACGTTCATCTTTAATTATCTTCCCTTAGTAACTGGAGTGCCTTTAAAATTCTTATATCGGAATCAGATTCAGACTTACTTAAAACTTTAGCAAATGAATTAAAGAAATCTGCCAGTGTGAATTCTTCAGTGAATATATCAGAAGGGATCTCATAAGGTGATGCAGTGCCGGGGGTATCCGCCTTGCTAAGGAGGAGGGAGGACCTACGACTTGCACTGCAGATGGCAGGGCGAGAGGGCGAGAGGCGAGAGAGAGAGAGAGAGAGAGAGAGAGAGAGGCGAGAGAGAGAGAGAGGGCGAGAGAGAAGAGAGAG